AACAATACAGTTTTATATTCCCATAAAGAGGCATTATTCAAATTGATAACATTTATCATTTCATGATTATCATGTGCTAGGAGAGTTCCAGGTTTCATATAAATAAAATGGTACCAAGTCAGAATGCTCTGCCCTCCAGGAGCCTTTTCGTGGGTACCGTGGGATGTCAACCCAACCAGTAAAGTGTCTGGTGACCCACTTCTTCACTCTTCCATTCATTTAAGGGTGCCTTGTCTCCTTTTGTGAGTTTGTTCTATTTTGATACAAGTATTCTTTTCAAGGATCAAGGATAATTGGGGTGAGTTGGGTGCGAGGGCCAAACTTTCCTTTCCTGACAGCTTGGCTTGATTTTGGAAACTGAATTTATTACGGATGGATTTCATAGGCTCTTTTGGGAAGAAACCACCAGCGTTCCCTGAAGCAAAGTTGTTTCCCCTTTTGGCTGAGCTTATACTTCAGCCATCCAAGTTACCTTTTGCAAAAACACAGTCATTAATAGAATATATGATGATTTTTAAAACTTTCATTTTGCAGAATAAAGCAGGCTAGTGCAAAGGACTGCCTTTTCAGTAGTTTGGCAAACCTCCTGCGCACATTACCAATAAATGGAAAGACCTGATTTATTCTGACACAGACATAATCTCCAAAGTTTGGCCTTATTTTGACTTTGTGACATGTCACAGAATCCTTGTGGGACAGTTCTTTACAACTTATTTCTCCATATTTTCAGTTCTTTTTATAATTGCCAAATCTGAGGTACTTTTAAATGTTTCAAGGGCATGTTGATTTTATTTTCTTAATTTATATACATGTAGGCCTTTGTAAAGTTTAATTTTTAATAGTTTTAAGGTTGCTTAAGTGAGGCTTGCAAAAAAAACACTCCCATACATAAAGTGTGTATTTAAAAAATGTGTGGTTAGGTCATGATTCTCGGTCAGAAGGAATATTTCTATCAGCGGTTTGTTTGAATATATGACAGTCTGTATCTAACAATGTTCTTTTCAGTTTCTGATTTGTTATTTGCTAGAGGTCTGACACTTGCTTTTTTTTTTTTTTAAGTTGATTAGTATTTGAGTAGTACGTTGTTTAAGTATCTGGCCATAGAACTATATTTTAACATGACACATTACTTTAATAGAATCTGAATACCTTTTGTTCTGGCAGTGCTGAATGATACAATGACAATATTTGAAGAAGGAAAATGTATACTACTCCTCTAATAAAACAAGAAGAATCTATAGGTATATATTTCGGGAGTTAGTGTGTGTTTTTATGTATCTTTCAAATGCACAAACAAATCTGAGTCTTAGATACTACCCAGTGGGAGTACTGTTATACCCTTAAGCTAGGTGGTGCTAATTTAGCCCTTATGTTCCTAAAATAGGAGAATAATGAGATAACCCAAGTTATTTTTAATTGGAGATGTTCTTTTCCAATTAAGTCCTAGGAAAACTCTAAATAAAGAAAAACACAGAATGCAGTGAGGACACATATTTTTGTGTGAATATCTTGGCACTCATAAAGTAGATATTCTTGCGGAGGCAGAAGGTATACACTAGATGATGAAGAAAGCTTTTTAATTCTTTCAGGAGATGATTTTTAGCACATACTATGTACCATACATAGTAAGGCTTGAGAGACAGAGGTGATGCTGGATCCTTCTCCTTAAAACATCCAGGCTGGTGAGGAAAGAGGGAGTCACAACCCCTCATTGCATTGAAGTTTTCTACGTGGTTGAAAACAGTAACGTCAACCCCAATAAGTGTGCCGGGAATACATGATATTAATGAAAAAAGCTTTACCTTGGGAAATAGTCTTGGGTTCTAATGCTGGCTCTGTTACTCATTAATTTTGTGAACCTGGGGAAAATTTTAAATGTCTTTTAGTCCTTGTGTCATTAAGTATAAAATGGGAGGAAATAACTTTCTACTCAAACAGAGCTGTTCTTAGGATTAAGATAATTATGTCAAATGTCTACCTGTCTGGCACACAGTAGAAGCTTAATAAATGCTAACTGCAGATCACTCTGTCTTCAAAATAATGATTCCATTATGATACTCTCTCCTTCTACAAATATTTTTGCCATATCTCTGGAATCCCAAGAAAGCCTTTGACTCCTTGAACCTGTTCGCTAACAGAATACAGCCTCTCCTGCAAAATTAAAATGTCATTATTTATGCGTGTAACGGAGCATGAAAGGACAGCAAAGGAGATATGCACTCCACACAGTGGCAGAATGAGCTCATAGCTGGTGGTGTGTAGTGTAGGCTGATGAGAGAGGAGGCAGAGGAGGGACGGAAGACAGAAATGAGGACTTGTCCCAGTTCGGGGAATAGAAAGTGATGACAGTTGAGGCCTGCTTAACTGTAGTCTTTTTGACCATTGAAAGCATAGCCTTTGGCATTTAAGGAGGACTTCTGCATGCACTCCCACTCACTTCCATGCACCCTTTCATGGGTGACCAATACTGGCAGCTTGCAGCAAGTTCTCTAGACTGTGACACTAGGCACAGTGAGCTGTGGTTACGTCTTTGCCATTGTTCAGAGATTTTTATCAAAATGAGTTTTAAACACTTTCTTCACACAATTCTTCTCACACATGACTCTTGGTAGAATCATGAAAATATTTTAATGTAGAAGATGGACATGTAAATTATTGTCAAGTTTACATAATGTTTAGTCTGTACTTAAAGAATGATTATACCTTGCTTATGTAATGATAGATGCTAGAATCAGAATGATGCTATCGGGTTATCAGTTCACTGTGAAAATGTTTCTTTCAGAAAGTAATTTTCAATTAATTTAAGTGAAAGAGCTTCTTACTGCTTCTACAGCAGCTCCTTCTGAACAAATAGCGTGCTTAGAGGCACTGGTCAACATATACAATGCTGAGGTTATTTTTCATTTATAATTGCACGTATACATAGTATGATGTTTGCATTCTACTCAACAATTGAGATATTGTTTTTGACACTATGAATCTGTACATTTATTGATGTAGGAAAGTAATATCTAACAAGATGTTAAGCATACCCTAAACCTCCACTTCTGGAGATACAGAAGCTTTTCCTGTTAAGATCACACAATATATAATGTAATGTATATACATACAATTAATCAGATTGGAGAGGAGAGAAGCACATGCTAGCGTGTGTTCTGAACTTTTAACATCTCAGTAAGTAGCTCCTGAACCAACATTTCATCCACCGTGAAACAATAAGACCTTGTTGTGTTGCTTTAGAACATGTACGAGAGATTAAAATTCTTTGGGAAATGGTTTAAAATTGTTTTTACCCAAATAGGTAAGGAACAAGTCCAATAGTGCTGACAGCAATGGGATTTAAAACTCAATTCTAATAATCTGAGTCCCAAAGGAATGCAAGGCAGACATCCGTTCAAGTCACGAGCTTGGAACTGGGGATCTGACAAAGGTTGATTTCTTACTGTGCGCCAGGCACCACGCTGTTTCCTACAGGACATTTGGGGTATTCTTTCAAAGAAGAACTTGTCCCTTCTCACCAAGGAATCTGATGGGTTGGCCTAAAGTCATCCTTTTCCAAACTTGAGTCATCCGACTGAGTTAACGGGAAGAAGTGGTTAATATACAGGTCACTGGGCCTTCCCTCAGCCTGGAGATTCTGATTTATTAAGTCTATGATGAAGCCTGGGAATATGGGTGCTCAGAAGTGCCCGAGATTGGAGATTACTGACCTAGATGATTTTTAGAAATTTTCCGACCCAGAGACTCAGTAGTTTTATAATCATCTGGTTTATAGTCACTTGTGAATTTCTGAGTATTTTTCCTATCTATTTTGCTGCATAGGAAATATGGCTCGCTTTAAACCTACTCTTCTAGAAAGAACCTTCAGAGGGGCTGAACGTCAGGGCTGGCCTCACGCTTGGTAGCCACAGTCTCCTGTGTGATTTTTCCACCATCCTTCAGTACCCCCGAAACCATTGTACTGTATTGTTGTTGGTGTCCCGGAGTTAATTTCCAAAAGAGATGAATCATATCATATTACTTTAGTCACCTACTGCTTGGATTCCCTGTCCCTCTGGATTAAAGCCCATTCGAACCGAGTGTGACATGTGAGCTCCATGACAACTGGGTCTCAAACCTTCACTCAGGCCTTATTCTTCTCCAGCACTCATCCTCTGCATCCATGTTCTGAGGATGGTAAGGCATGTTCTTCTTCATATTTAGCCTTTCTCATGCTGTACACCCTCTGCATAGAATATCACCCTCCTGCTCTCCATTTGGCAGACTCTTTTCCTGTAAGACCCACATGAATGTCACTTTCCCTCCCGGTCAGAATTAATCATTCCTTTCTCTGGGCTTCTACAGCATTTTGTTTGTACCTTTATTAGCCTCCTGTTCATGTCGTGTTTTAATGTGTCTGTTCACATGTCCGTCTCTCCCAGTAGACTCCAAGAACCGTGGCTCATTCCTTCCATCTCCCTAGTGCTAACAGTAGTGCCCCATGCACCAGGTTCTACACAAATGTAATTAAGTGAATGAATGCATAATTGTGCTGGCCAGTCCTGGAAGACAAGATTCATAATCTAGTGAGAGAGAATGCTTCCTCAGACGTGCTATTTTAGTCCCATATGGGTAAAAAAGAAAACCACCACCTCTCTACCTTACTCTAAGCCTGTTTGTCAGGCAAATGTCTGCTGGTTAACTCAACCCAAATCAGCATGAAGCTCTCCAAACCACACATGAGGCAATTCAGATGCCACAGTGGAAGACCTGTTTAGAGAAGAAATAATTTCACTTGATGATATATCTTTCTTGGCACCAAGTAAAATCATCAGTTGAGTAGAGAGATGTTCACACAGATGTGGTTTCCGTAGAATGAGAAGTTTAACTCATCGCGTTAACTTTGTGTATCTTTCTTGGCATAATTAAAGAGAGCAAAGCAAAGGACTTGTAAAAAATTTGTGTGTTTGCTCTCTTTCATTTTTTTGCTCTTTGTCTTTATTTTGTTTATTTTATCCTAGGCACATTATTTGCTGATGGAGATATCTGAGGAGCCAGGGCCTTCCAGAGAGGAGAAAAGAAGACTAGAATCATAAGTCCTTATTCATTCTGTCTTCACAAAGCAGGAGCCACCTTAGTCTTCATGGTTTGCACATTGAATGCAGCAAAGAGCATGTGAAGGTTAAAATAAATTCTCAATTTATAAGATTTAGTGTGGTCATGATGGGACTGAAGTTGGACTTTAAATCCTTGTTGGCTGAAAGACCATTCTAACGACACGTTGCTGCTTTCATGGCGGGTTATCCAGTGATGGACACAGATGACTTGCATGCATGTGGTGGGTGCGTGCACACATATAAACATGCTCCAGTCCCTCCCTCCACTTTTTTCAGCAAAATATTTAGTGACTAAAAAGAACATATTTTGATATGCTCCTACGTTAACCTTCAGACCCTTCTGGGCTTTCTATATGTTAGCAACACTTTCTATGCCAATAGGAAACACATAAAATAACATCTGAGATGATTTTTGATGAGCCACTTTGCTTTAATGCTGGGGGCTTATAACACCTCCCCAGAAGATCATATAATCTATAGAAATAGTGTATTTCTTGATTCTTGAATCACACTATTAGGCCACATTCTCATCCAGAGTAATTAATAATGTATAATAACAATTAATAACATTAATGATTGCATTGATTATAGGTAAGGTTTATTTAGAGTGCTGCTTATGCAGTTCATGTATATTATCACATTTAAATATTCAGAAAATCCCTGCAAAGTGGCTTCTGTTTAGTTAATGTTAATAGTAACCCCATTTTACGCACAGGGAAACTGAAGTAGAGAGAATTGCTTCAGGTTGCTTATCTTATTTTGTAGATATTGTTGTCTTTATAGGATAGGTGAGCACTGGGTAATTTCCAAAATCAACCCTAAAATTTTTCATGCCTGAAAATCAAATTTAGGGCAATTGCCCACTGAAACAACGAAAGTCTGGATGAGTGACTAATGATTAAAGGGTGCATTTATTGTAGAGAACACTCGCCATTTTTTGCCATTATCCTTTTACCAGCATTACTAATAAATAGTTAAATGGATGGATCTAAGATTCACCTATCTTTCCCTGTGGAGGTGATAATGGACAAGGGAATGACCAGAGGTCAGATAATAGCATAAAGCGAGTGACCTCTGAGAGAGCCTGGAAATAATGGAGAATCGACTGTGTTATAAATAGGTCAGATTCTCTCCTCCCTTAAATCTGTAATTGCTCAGGCAGTAGACATTACTGGGTGAAAAAAATGACCCATAGATGGGCTGGGAAAGGCTGTTCCATGTCGATGATTTGAAAATAAGCGCAGTATGTGCTTGCAAGTCTTCACCGTCTTGAATTTGAATTTTGACCACTCCCTTTCCCACTTTCTGTTGATGCGTTCAGCTCTGTATGTGTCAAAGTTGTGTTTTATGACTTCAGAAATTATAATTAAGTCTTTGCAATTATTTTCCTTTCCTGGTTCCATGTAAATATTATTGATACTGTCTAAAGTGTTCCATTCCAAATTCTTCATTTCCCCTTAAACAGCTAGACCACGGCTATTGTTATTTTTACATTCTTTTGTCATCTTATGCCCATTACCTGTCATGAGACAACTGTGGATAGGGTGGCATAAGATTATTGCTGATTTAGGTCAGTCTAGATGGGCTGATTAATGTGGTTGCTTAGGAAAGCAGACTCTACACAGGTGTGGTGGTGCAGTTTGGCAAATGGCTCCATAGCCAGCCAGCTCTGAGACCCCAAGAAAACACCAACTCTGGTGAATTTTGTGGTGTTTCTGTCTATGACAGTGGGAATATAGCTGAATTGGATGGAACAAAACATTTATTCTCTGCAATTAGCAACTGAGAAGTGAGCAGGCCATCTGAAAGAAACCTAAACATGACTGTCACTTTTACTAGAAAAGGCTGCCTGGTGTGTCTGGACCACAGGCATCGGTAAAGAACCAGCCTGTGCCTCAGTGTCACCCTGCCCTCTCCATCGCGGGTGCTGGACTTCCTTATACTTTCTACTGGACTAAAGTGTCAGTGTGTTTTAGAGTGAACTGGTAATTCTGAACAAAATCCCATTCTGCTTAATTCATATTCCTCTATTAAACGAGATGTCCTGTCTTGGAGCACTACTTTGAGTTATCTTTGATTCCTCCTTTTCATTCATTTTCAACTGTTCTATCACTAGTTTTATGCATCTTTTTAAAATTCTGTCCTTGCCCTTTCGCTTTGGTCCTTTTGTGTCCATGGTACTTAAGCTCATGTGTGTTTTTCCACCCCTGTGACCTTCAGGACACAGTTGCATTACTCTATCTCGTTCCTGTGCTGATGAGATTACTCTCCATTATTTAAAAGATCAAGTCTTAACATCTTGGCTTGACACTCAAGGTCTTTCTGTAGCTTTCCCTAATCTTCCTCTCCAAAGTTAATCTCTTAGGAACTAAATGTAGGGTGTGTCCTTACTTTTATCTTTACAGTAGTCTCATTGTGGTGTAAAATTTTACCAAATGCTTTGTCTCCACTATCTGTGAGCTCATTTAGGTCAAAAGCCATGCTCAATAAATGTTTGAGGAAATAAACCGAACTCAGGTATCTGACCCTGATATACCTCTGTGAAACTTACAAACAGCACAAGTCTGTGTCTCCTCTTTATTATCCTACTTCCCATCAAATTTTAAATGTTGAGCAAATTAATGATAACAAAGTTTGCACAAACAGCTCTTAATGTATTTGAATTTTAAAGTTATCTAATAGCAGAAACTTCATTCCTTCTGTGGAATCCTGTGTCAAAGCACAGTGCACCCTTGTTAGGAAGGTGGAGCATTCCAACAGCATTATGAGCCCTGTGTTTGTATTTGTAAAACCCGTGGTCTTCCCAGGCCTCCAGGCAAGAGCAAATAGAAATAATCAGAGGCATTACAACTTGATTATGTTGAGTTGGATTCTTATAAGGGAGGGTTGATAGCCAAAATTAGTGGCTTGGTAGTTTATACGGAAAGAGATGCTTGCAACATTCCAAAAGCATAGACTCCCGCTCGCTGGAATCTTTGAAGACATCTGGATGTTTTGAAAAATACAACAATCACATGTTTTTTATTATGTCCATAATTGTATTCTTTTTAAAAGGGAGCTGCGTTAAGATTTAGGGTTGGGGAAATAGGAAGGCCATGGAGTTTGTGGATTCAGGCAGACTGGCTTTGTTATGCCTCAACCAGCTCGGGTCACTTAAGCATGTTTCTTCATCTTTGTGTCTATTTCCTCAATTTTTAAATAGAGGAAAAATAATATTTATCTCATAAAATCACTGTGACAAATAGATTAGATGATGCCTAAGTACTAGTAAGCATTAGCTCCCTTTCCTTTGCTGTCCAACTTTAAATAATACAGATGTTATAACTTATAAATGACAGTTTTCCTTTCATGGATAAGGCATTTCTGTAATACTGTGCCTCTGTTTTCCCAAATAAGCTCTCTATGGGGTCACAGTGCCCCTTGCCCGATTTCTCTATAACAGCATTTATTTCTGGGGTGTAGAAGAGGTTAAGATACCTTAGAAATAGTCATCGCTCTGTCTTGATTAGGACACTAACTCTTGAACTCAAAATCACTTTTCTTTCGGGGGCAGGGGTGGAGTGGTGGGGGGGGGAGGGAAAAAGGAAGTCTTTCCAGCAGTCTCATTGCCTCAAAAACAGTGGGGATCATGGATTATTAGAAAAGAATTACCCAAAGAAAGTACTCTTAATAAAAGCTGCCTGCAGAGGAGTCTGGTTTATCAACAGGCACAAAAGAATTATTTCTACTAAATTTCAGCTTGTCACTGTAAACATAAAAATTGCATCGCTCTTATGTATTCTATGGGGACAATGCTGTGTTTCCACAAGGTGAAATTCTCAAGTAAGAGTTTCTAAGAATGAACATTTACTCTCAGAGAACCCTAGGGAATGTCTGTTAAGACACAGGCAAACAACAAGTGAAAAGCTATTAGAGGGAAGCTAAAAAGGCAAATCAAGTAAATAATTTCATTGCATTGTGGAAAATATGTGATATGAGATACATTTCATTTAGCATGAATGACCAATGCAATTATAATTGACTAATGAACATTTTTTTCTTTTTCAGCATATTATTAGTGTCATCTAAAGTGATGAAGGTGTTTTGCACATCAAAACCCCACAGTCACACACAATTATACTTATAGGCTTCTTTTTTGATGAAAGCCAGTGTTGTTTTAGCCTTATTTAGATTTTAGTTTAAAGATTTAGCCACAGATCTGGAAACACAATGTTACAAGATGAAAAAAGGATCTATATGATGTGATTTTTTCTTTTTGACCTTTAACAAACATATTAGAGCTTCCCTTTGATTATACATTTTTATGTGTGGAAATATTGATCTCCTTGTACAAAATGCTTTGGAAATCTGAAAAGGGTTTTATAGGAAAATCATAGCATTGCTTTCATTAATAATTTTTAAAAGAATGAGATAATTATGATGGTTTAGCTTAAATTCGGTCTTTACAACAAACAAGCTGGCTTGTCATTGCCCTTTCCCGGTCTATATTTCTAAATATGATTCTATATTTCTAAGTAATTAATGGAATTTCTATAAAAATTATAGCAAATAGGTTCCTAAAAAAAAGGAAAAAAATGAATGTTCAGATAATTCTTTGTCCTTAAGTGATAGACTTGTAAATTATGAATCTAGAGAGCAATCCCTAATTTAACTTAACTGGTAGTTGGGTTTGATTCTGACACCACGTTTTTACTGAACTCTTAAGAAGAAAGATGAAGGGATTTAAACTTCGAGACCTATTTTCTTCTGTCTTCAAAATTAAGAACACGTTGCTGATGGAAAAATGACAGTTGGTATCTGTGTGAAATGTGGTGAACAGGACTATTAGGTCATAATTGAAATAATATAAGCAATGGGATTTTTTGGAAAAATTAGTACATGGGGGTGAGGAAGAAGCTTTAAGAAGGGCACAAGCATGTCACTGGTAGAAATGACCTTCTAGAATCTCTTTTTCTGCATGCAGTAGCTCTTAACCTTCTCCAATGGATATTTATTGGGAGTCCATTTAAAAAAAAAATGAAATGGTTCTTTTTTTTCACGTCGCTCCATGTCTTAACTCTGTAA